CCTTCTGAAGTCTACTTCTGTCAACTCGTCAAAGTTATTCTCCGTCCAGCTTTGTTCCATTGCTGGCGAGGAGCTGCAATCCTTCGGAGAAGAGGTGCTCTGGTTTTTCGAATTTTCAGGTTTTTTGCTCTGTTTCTCCCCATCTTTTTGGTTTTATCTACCTTTGGTCTTTGATGATGGTGACCTACAGATGGGGTTTTTGTGTGAACGTCCTTCTTGTTGATTTTGATGCTATTCCTTTCTGTTTGTTAGTTTTCCTTCCAACAGTCAGGTCCCTCAGCTGCAGGTCTGTTGGAGTTTGCTGGAGGTCCACTCCAGACCCTGTTTGCCTGGGCGTCACAACAGCAAATATTGTAGAACAGCAAATATTGCTATCTGATCCTTCCTCTGGAAGCTTCGTCTCAGAGGGGCACCCAGCTGTATGAGGTGTCAGTTGGCCCCTACTGGGAGGTGTCTCCCAGTTAGGCTACACGGGGTTCAGGGACCCACTTGAGGAGGCATTCTGTCCATTCGCAGAGCTCAAACACTGTACTGGGAGAACCACTGCTCTCTTCAGAGCTGTCAGATAGGGACATTTAAGTCTGCAGAAGTTTCTGCTGGCTTTTGTTCAGCTATGCCCTGCCCCCAGAGGTGGAGTATATAGAGGCAAGGAGGCCTTGTTGAGCTGCAGAGGGCTCCACCCAGTTCAAGCTTCCTGGCCACTTTGTTTACCTAGTCAAGCCTCAGCAATAGCAGGTGCCCCTCCACCTTCTGGCTGCCACCTCGCAGTTCGATTTTGGACTGCTGCGCTAGCTAGCGTGAGTAAGGTTGCATGGGCATGGAAGCTGCTGAGCCAGGTGTGGGATATAATCTCTTGGTATGCTGTTTGCTAAGATTGTTGGAAAAGTGCAGTATTTGGGCAGAAATGTCCCGTTTTTCTGGTACCGTCTGTCACAGCTTCCCTTGGCTAGGAAAGGGAAATCCTCCAACCCCTTGTGCTTCCTGAGTGAGGCGATAGCCCATCCTGCTTCAGCTCACCCTCTGTGGGATGCACCACCCACTGTCCAACCAGTCCCAATGAGATGAACCAGGTACCTCAATTGGAAATGCAGAAATCACCCATCTTCTGCGTTGATCATGCTGGGAGCTGCAGAGCAGAGCTGTTCCTATTCGGCCATCTTGGAAGGGTAATCTCAGTAATAGATTTTTTTAAAGGTGCTAAGGCAATTCAGTGGAGAAAGGATAGTCTTTTCAACAGATGGTGCTAGACCAACTGAATGTACTCATCCAAAAAAGAATTTCCTTCTATGAAAAATTAACTTAGAATTTATCATGCACCTATATGTAAGATAAAACTAGAAAACTCTTAGAAGCAAACATAGGAGAAACTCTTTATGACCTGGGGTTTCACAGAGAGTTCTTAGAGTATCAAAAGCACTATCCATAAAAGGAAATCATGTATAAATTGGTCTTCATCAAATTAAAAACTTTTATTCTGTGAAAGATACTGATAGAATGTAAAGAAGATATAGGGATAGCAGATAAACGCATGTGCAAGGTGCTCAGCATCATTAGTATATATATTTTAGAATGCCTAAATTAAAATGCTGATAATACAAGGTGTTCATGAGGATGTGGAACAACTAGAAGTTTCATACATTGCTGGTGGGTTACAACATGATACAGCCACTGTAGAAAACAGTTTACAGTTTCTTTAAAAGTTAGAGATACACCTACCATATAACCTGGTATTTGTTCTAGACAAAATTCACAAACACTTGTGCACAAATGTTTGTAGCAGTATTGTGCATAATCACCAAAATCTGGGAAGAACTTGAATGTCCTTGAATAGAAGAATGGATAAACTAATTGTATATCTACTCAATGGGACATACTATTCTGCAGTGGATACAGGAACATATCTTTTTATATATACAAAAATGGATGAATGAATCTCAAATACAATATGCTAAGTGAAAAAAAAGCCATTCTTATAATTACATGTTGTATGATTTTGTACAAATGACAATCATAGAAGGTCAACAGTTTGCCAGGGGTTGTGGGAAAGGGGAGAGTCCGACTTAAAAAGGGTGTTGGAATTGTTCTGTACCTGTGGAGCGGGTAGCAAAATGCTATGCACATGTTAAAACTCAAAAGTTAAGCCTAAAAAAGTGAATTCTGCTGTATCTAAATTTTAAGAAATAATAAAAATACATATTACCTTGTATTCATTTGTTAAAGTTTGTTCATACACTTAACATTTGTGCATTTCACTATGTCAAAATTTTGTCTCACCTAAAAATAAAGAATTGTAAATAAACAAAAAAGTAACTGGAGGATGGGAAACACTTAGGTGTTCTAATTAAAACAATTTTGCCCTAAAGCATGATGTATATAATTTTATTTATTATGGCAAGGGCCCATTTATTTTCCTGTTTAGGAGATTAGCATGTTGTCTGTTTTCTTGACAATTTATTGTTGATTCACTGAATGTTACTTCTTAATAATGATGGATAGTTTCTGGCCACAAGCTAGATAAAGCTCTTTTATAATCTGTTTTTCTACTGCAGCAATTCAGATTCATCCTATCTCTCGTCTTTTCATTTTGGACACAATTTTTTCTTTCATCTGTTGACAAGGGAAAAAAATTAACTTGGAAAAATGTGTTTTGAGTGTTTTCAATGAATTTGTCACATTTAAGATTTAATCATAAATTATTTCTTGACTAGCAGAAGCAGTTCACACTGTATTAGTTTTGATAATCTTTGGACCTCATAAAACAAACTAGCAGAGGCTTTATCTTAAACATTATAGACCATTTGCAATGCTATGGATTGAATGGATATATTTTAGCACTTGCTGTGGGTGACAGTAGATGATGTCAGATTAAATTTAAATTGATCTCCTCTCAATGTTTATCTCTGGTACATGTGCAATTACTTCAGCACCAGAGAACCTTTCAGAGGCATTCTGTCAATATAGCTACCTGACAGTCATTTGTATTTGTAAACTGTGCATTTGGCACCTGCTGGTCTCTGTTGCATTGGAGCTAGTGGGGAGCCAAAATGGGTATACAATGAAGTTATTGGTTGGTACAGCTCAGTGGGAGTTATTGAAGGGAAGAAACAGCACTTCCAGGACCTCAGGAGAGGATAAAAAGAAAAAGAAACTGGTAATATTAACTACAAGCCAGCTATTGTTTGCTACCAAAAAAATAATGATTTTAAAAGTCAATCAGTTCTACCCAAGGAATTAAAGTGTATGTGGACCTGCATTTTAATTCTTGTAACAGAATGAAAAAGTATTTCTATTTAAAATATATAATTAATTTTTTAAAGCACCAAGATCTCAGCTAGAAGGCAGACAATTCATATGAGCAGAAATGTAAATTCAGAGAAGCAATGAAAAAATGCTTTAAATTTAAAAAAAAAAAATTTTTTTTTAATTTGTGAAGAAATGTAAATTAAAATGCAGGTATCTTTTACTTATCAAATTAGCAAAACCAATTTTAATTTTAAAAAGACAGACATGCTGGCAAGACTTTAAAGAACAAACAGTAAAAACCAACTGAGGTTTTATAGGTATAATTTGCTCACACTTGGTCAAAAGCTCTTATTTGTTAACCCAGTAATCCTACTTTATTGTATATAACTCAAGGAAATATTACAAAGAAGAAAGCTTGATATATAAATTTGCTTAGCTCAATATGGTGTTATCTGCTACAGTGCATTGTTTCTGTGCTGCAGATTTGCTCATACATGACTGGTAATTAAGAGAATAACGTCCATAGAAAATGAAGTTGTGTCGGTTCATATATCATTATTCTCAGAATGTCCTGAAGCCATCAGAATAAGATTTTTCTTTTTCTTTTTTTGGGGGGGAGGGGGGACAGAGTCTCGTTCTGTCGCCCAGGCTGGAGTGCAGTGGCGGGATCTCGGCTCACTGCAAGCTCCACCTCCCGGGTTCCCACCATTCTCCTGCCTCAGCCTCCCGAGTAGCTGGGACTACAGGTGCCCGCCACCACACCAGGCTAATTTTTTTGTATTTTTAGTAGAGACGGGGTTTCACCGTGTTAGCCAGAATGGTCTTGATCTCCTGACCTCGTGATCCGCCCGCCTTGGCCTCCCAAAGTGCTGGGATTACAGGCGTGAGCCACCGAGAATAAGCTTTTTCATAAAGAGAATGCCATAGGGGTATATGAAGACCTCCAAAACTAAACAGCTGAAAATCCTGAGGAAGTGCCTTTCTTAGTGTAAATAAAAGCTAGTTTAATGATCTTGAGAAGTGCTTTGCTTTTCATAATGTTAAGTTATCCAATGAAGTTGCATGTATGGTTTAAAGAAGTTATGAAGACATTTCCCCCTATGTTTAGGGAAAAAAACATGAAAATACTATGTCCTGGTTCAGGTTAATTTGATGAAATTGGTTTTTACTGTCTAGTGAATGCCCTCAAGGACCTGGACCTCAAAAGTGGGCTCACAACCTTTATGTTAAGGCTGCAGAGGATCACCTGGTTGACACTAGGTTTAAATGGTGGTGGATGTTGGATGGTGCTAATATTTTTATTACAGCTTGATAATAGTGCTTTGGTTACAAAGCTGTATAGTTTTAAGTGGTTAGCCCCTAACTCTTTTTCCTTTGAGCCCTGTTATTTTTAGTGTGATGTTGCAGAACAAAGGTATTTTTAGTTACATATATGTAATTTAGGAAAATATATAAAGTGCCCATTAATTTAAAATGGTTAAGAATTTGCGGTACAGTGTCGTGGTAGATTATAATGTGCCTCAATGATAAGCATGGAAAATTTTCTATGAAACAAGTACAGGAATTAGAATACCAAACTGAGTATCTGGGTACTATGCTTACAATTGTGTAAAAATGTTTGACACATACCTGGTCTGCAATAGTTGTCGTAGGAGGGTGGGATTGTAGGTTAGCAAAACTTTTTTAATACTGTGAAGTTGGTAAAATAGAGATAAGTCCATTTTAACAGTTTAAATTTTATTTGACTATGGTTTCAGAATTCCTGGAAAACTCAAGCAATTTGTATTTGACTTACATTCTGGAAAACTGCACAGAGAATTCCATCATGGACCTGACCCAACCGATATAGCCCCAGGAGAGGTAGGACTCCTGTTTATTTTTCAATGGGAACTCTTTTTTTTTCGTTTTTCAGTTAGCCTCAAAGAGAGTCTGAAGTTCTTGCATCGGCTTGAGCTTCAGCTTCTGAATATTTGTGTAGAGAAATTCTGAGTAGAAATTATCCTTTTAAATTAATTTTTAGTTTCAGGTCTTCAGAAAAGTTGAAAGGATATTATAACGTAGTTTCTTGATTGTATAAAGTGTTCTGAATGTGACCTCTGTGGAATATGGCTATAACAGATTTAAATACAGTTGGCTTCAAATGGAAATAGGAAATAGGAATCTAAAACAGATAAATCAGTGAAGAAATCAGTGGATTCCAGTAATTCCAAGCCTTCCTCTGTGGCTGGAAGACTGACCACACTATAAAGAAAGTAATGATTGGTTATTCTGCTAAATCATTCTAAGAGCTTTCACAAATACACTATTCATAATGCTCAAAACTTTACAGTTTAATGCAGCTTTCCCATTTGTGATTTAGAATACTTGACAACTGTTTTATCAAAATTTTATGTTCTCTTATTTTTTTTTCTACCTGAGAATTTTACTGTTTCCACCTTGTAACTTCTGTTACAAGTAATTTCTATGTTCCTATTGTACTAAACAGCCCTAAATTTGCATTTTGATAGATAATTATTTCTATCATGCCTATTACCATGATACCGAGAGGGAAGATGATATGTACCAAAATCCTCTATTTCATATGTTCAGAACTTAAATCCATTATTTTGCCTGTAAAACCTCTATTTATAAAAGGAAAATAAAAACTGAGTTTTTCTTTATTTAAGAGTCAGATTAGGTTCAGAGGCAAGAATTCCCTATAGGAATCCAAAAACATGCTTTTTCCTTTAAAAATGAGGTCAGATTTTTGATAATTAAGCAACTATAGGAGGCAAACTTGTTGGCTATAACCCAAAGGTGATTATTTTCCTCAGAAAAGGCGGCCTGCATAGTATTTTATCAGATTAGGAAAAGATGTCATTTACCATTATTGTATTATCCTGACTTGTTTCAATTTCCTTATTAGACAGTGAACTTATATTTGTTCATCTTTGTGTACTAACAGAGGGCACCAAATAAATGTTTGTTTTATAGTAATATAATTTCAGCTTAATCCAAACATATATCTCACTGAAAAAATTTAAAATGTATTGGGAAAGAGGCACATGATAAAGTCAAATGATAAGTTTATAGACACATTGCTTCCTGTTAGAATTAATGTGCCATTATATATAGTATGTAATATATGCACTGTGTGCCTATGTCAACTACAGGGGATATTAAAATGAGAACAATCAGGCCTGCTCTTGAGCTCACAGTTTGGAAATAGACAATGGACTGCACTGCCTTTTCTTTAAAATTCTTGGAAGTAGCTCTTGTTTCACTGTGTATTTTTGTCTACTCTTGGTACACAAGTAAACTACAGAAATTAATTTCTTTCAGTATTGAAATGTTTGCTTTCCTCTTTATTTCAGCTAAGTTGTAATAATTTCTGGTATCCTGGTAATTGATAACTAAGATAATATCTACATAGTGGATGCTGTTAATTCTCTTAGCGGTCATGCACAAAGGAAGGGTTTGAGCCAACCTAGGGTTGTGTTGCCTCTGTAGACTAGTCTGGAAAGCACCCAGGTGTCAGGTATTTTGGTCCCTTCCACCACACCTCAGCAAATGTAAAACAAGCCCACAGTTAATGGCCCTGTGGCAACCTTGCCCTGGAGAATCTGAGTAAGAGCATTTGAAATGAGGAAAGCAAGATTTCACATTTAAATCTCTTGCTTTGGCACACAGTTGTTTTTATTGATTAATAAGCAAATAATTATAGGGGAACTACCATTCATCAAATACTCTTATTAAAATATTATAGCACTATAAACTATATTGGTATAAAAATGTTTTATTCTTTCTTTTGTAGCAAGCCCAAGATGTAGCAAGCAGTCCACCTGAGAGCTCCTTCCAGAAACTAGCACCCAGTGAATATAGGTATACTCTATTGAGGGATCGAGATGAGCTTTAAAAACTTGAAAAACAGTTTGTAAGCCTTTCAACAGCAGCATCAACCTACGTGGTGGAAATAGTAAACCTATATTTTCATAATTCTATGTGTATTTTTATTTTGAATAAACTGAAAGAAGTTTTGGGTTTTTAATTTTTTTTCTCCCCGACTCAAAATGCATTGTCATTTAATATAGCCTCAAAAAAAAAAAAAAAAAAAAAAAAAACAAAAACCTGCTAGGATTTAAAAATAAAAATCAGAGGCCTATCTCCACTTTAAATCTGTCATGTAAAGAAAGGTGACATTGCCAGAAACTTACCATTAACTTGCACTACTACGGTAGGGAGGACTTAGGGATGTTTCCTGTGTCGTATGTGCTTTTCTTTCTTTCATATGATCAATTCTGTTGGTATTTTCAGTATCTCATTTCTCAAAGCTAAAGAGATATACATTCTGGATACTTGGGAGGGGAATAAATTAAAATTTTCACACTGTGTACTGTGTTTTACTGATTGGTTGGATATTGCTTATGAAAATTCCATAGTGGTATTTTTTTGGATTCTTAATGTGTAACTTAAACATACTTTGAAGCGGAGGAGAGTCATAAGACAGAACATTTGGCAGGAATTGTCCTTATGAACCAAGAAAAAGAAAATGAAAAGTATTATTAAGCTTCTGTGTTTGTCTAAAAATGTGGCATATGGATGGCATTTAAAACTTTGAATGAATTATACCTAAATCTGGGAAAGGGAGGTGACAGTGGAACAGGTTACCAGTCAGAACTAGATGAGTTTTAACGCTACTCCTATTATGAGACTTCAATTTCCAAAGAGAAGAACCAGCAGAGAAATTGTATTTCGGTAATTTAAACCTCCTTCTGTCTTGTAGAGTCTTGTTATAGTTGTGTAAATTAAAAACACAGAATAAGGAACATATTTAACTTTTCTTTCCATTGTAAAATGGTTAGAGGACCTTACCCCCTCTAGATTCCCTGATTTCCCAGGCCTGCAGCATACAGTAAGATGGGTCCCTGTGCCAGGCCTCAATACTGCCAGGGAATAAAACCAGAGGGAGAGGACCCTCAGTGTCATATCAGGAAGCCCAATGCCAGAGGACAGACAGGCTCAAAATTGGCTTTTCCTCTGGGCCCGGGTTGGTGCTATAGGCCAAGGGTCATTTTATACTTGGGTATAAATCAATCCCAGTTTGGGAAAAGATTATTTTTAAGCTTAAAAGGCTGACATGTGCCATTATATGTAGTATGTAATATATGTAACATCTTCCAATTGTTTTAAAATAAAATATTTATAATGGATATTTAATGATTTTTTTAAAAACCAGCTTATAATTCCTAGTGATGCATGATTTATCCATAGTTTCCATAGTTTTATTGAAAATAATAAATGTTAATAAGGTGATAAGGGGTATATTTTAGTGTATTGTACCAGATTGTGAATAAGAAAGTAGGATGGACCTTTCTAGAGGTTGCGCCTTAGTTCTGTTATCCTCATTGCTTTTAGCCAGTAAGTTGAATGAAGTTAGAGTTATGGTCTTCAGGTTAGATGATGGACCAGATCTGTGAAGGTCAGCATGGAAATTCACAAACATTCAACAAGATAGCACACAGGACCAAAAGCAGCACATGCAATCAACTGGAATAATATGGTAATCCTGTAACTGGGTTTGAAAAAATAATCAACAAAAGATACAATTCAGGGGTGAGGTTGCAGAGAGCTGACTTAAGAGTAGTTATTATGAAAAAGGCCTCAAGGAGTACGTGTTCACTATTCTGTAAGATGATAAAGTGGCTGTTTAAAAAAGGAGTTGATTTGAGGAAGTATTATTTAGCATTCATGCATACTGGGCTTAGGCTCTATCCCTGCCACTATCATTGTCTTCTCTGGACTGTGAAGCCATTGAGGACAAGGAAACTAAATTTAATGTCTATATCACTAGTGCCTAGAATTTCTGGACACTTAGTAGTCACCATCAGGCATTTAGTTAATGAATGAGAAGCGAAGTGACCTTGGTTACTTTTTTACCCTGAGGGGCTCAGCACTCAGGACGTGGTGCCTACCTAATTTTATAAAAAGTCACTAAGCTCAAGTGCACTCCATGAAAGGACAGCTTGGATAAAAAGGTTTTTAAAATATGGATGTTAAGGCTGTTCTGTTTGGAGAAGACTTGGGACTGGACAGTCTTTAGATATTTGAAGGGCTGGCATTGTCTATCTGAATCCCAGGGCTTGAACTAGGATTTGAGGAAGTCACAGGGAAGCAGATTTCAGTCTGACATTTATTCAGTGCAAGTTTTTTGGTGCTAGAGTACCTGACAAAGCTGAATAAAGCATTATTTCTGCCCTAGAGGTGTTTACAATCTAGTCAGCAGATGGATATGTAAACAATGACTGTAATGTGTTATAGATGTAAAGACAGAAGAAAATAAAGGTTAATGAGGGCATAAAGGAGCACTCAATTGCAGAGATTTGAAGACATTATTTTTATTTTGAGCTTTTAAAAGATGAACAGGTGTTCTCAGGAGGTAGAGATCTGGCTGAGAGGGAATAATCTAAGCAAAGGTGTGAAACAGCCTAATGCATTAGAGAAAAAAGTTCTTTTAGTAAGGCATTTGGGGTTGGAGAAGCTAGAAAAAGAAATGGGAGCTGGTCACACAGGGCCTTGTGTACCAGACTAAGGGGTTTGTAGTATATATTGTAGACAGCAGAGATCCATCAGCAGATTGCAAGCAGGGAAATATGTTCACTTTCAACTTTGAGAAAGAATATTGTGGAAGCAAGTCTCAAATTTAGACTTGTTCCCCTCTGAACCGTGAATCAGAGACCATTTCAGGTAGACGTCTTCCCCGGTTTATTTAATCTACTCAGGGCCTCAGGCTTCTCAGCTGGGAAGAGAGGATGCAAGACCAGACTGAAGATCACAGTTGACTCCCAAAACCAAAAGGAGGCCTTTCTGCTTCTTAGCCAGCTACCTTTTCCAGTTTTTCAAATTGTGAAAACTTTTAGATGACATTCTACAAATTATTATTATTATTTTTTTAAGTTAAAAGAACCTAGCCAATAAGATAGAGAATGGGCATCTAAAGCATCTCAGAGCTCTCTGATGAAGCCAGGTTGTCAAAGATCATTTGCAAAAGAACGGAAAACTGGCATGACAAAAGTTAGAGGAGAGTGAAATAGAAAAATGTTTGAAATGTTCAAGCTCACAATAAGCTTAAATTTATAGAAAATGCTAAGGTTGTCAAGAAGGCTTTTTTTTTTTTTTCTTTTTTAAACCTGAGCAAAAAGAATGGATAAAGTAGTGTAATGAATTGACAATCAGGAAGAACAGAATAACTCAGTTTTTTTTTTTTTTTCTCCTACAAGGAGATATGGCTGGACCAAAATAAAATGACATGAAATTGCAAAAATGAAAAAAAAAAAAAAAATTATTGCCCCCTTAAATGATTTTCAAGATTGTTAGATCCGCACTTCTGTATCCTAGAGAGCTACTGGAGGTTGCAAATGCTTTCTGTTAACAACTATTGGGAATTTTTGAGAAACTATGGAGAATGTAAGGTGACAGAAGACTGGAAATGGGGAAACATATTGCAGTTTTCAAATAATTAGCTAATAGCTTTAGCTATTTTTCTAAAATAAAACCTCATGAACCAAACAAATGTTAGTACTCTATATTTGGGGGAAAGATTTAAATAGGTGTAAAAAACAAAACAGTTACCTCTTTTTAAACCCATTATTTAAAGACCCTGAAGACAAGTTGTTTCAGGACTCAAGTTTTATGCTGATAACTTTATGTTCATTAAACCAGGTTGGATAGGAACTCTGCTTAGCAACTGTTTTTTAGCTGTGTTTGAATTTTTGTATATATTTCCAAGTAATAAAATTATATTTATAAAATATTTCTATATTTGAGACTTTTTACTAATTCACTTTGTTATAAATAACATCATATTGTAAACACTTTACTCAGAATCTAGATGACCACAGTTGCTAGCTTTCTCAGATTTAAAGTTATTTCCCAGGTAATTGTACCAAATCAGAATGGGAAGCTATATGAATCCATGTGATCACTCAAACCCAGCCTTTCGTTGCAGCAAGCATCCAACTTCCCTCTTGAAGAACACATTGGGGAAAAGCTAGCCTGCCCTTAAACAATAGGTTTTAGAGTCACCAGAAGAGGAACAGTGCAGCTTACAAATTGCTTCTCTAAAATGCTCCCTTCCCCCAACCCTGCTTAGTAAATTCCTCCCATTCATCCTTAGTGCCTAATAACACTTGTCAATCCCTGTGGTCCCACAGTCCTTTATGGATTTTAGAGTACTCAGTCTAATTCAGAGTTAGAAGTACATGTATCTCTCTTATTACTGTGTGAATGCCCTGAAAGCCCGAACTCCTCTATCTTTGTAATCCCAGCACTTGCGACACTGAAGGTACTCAGGAAATCTCTGATGGAAAAAAAAAAAAAAAAAAAAAAAAAGCCAAATTAAATAATAAGTATGTGAGCAAATGAATAAAGAACAAGAAAGCATCACCACAAATGGAATGAGCTCTACTGGTTAATCTGCAAATCACAATCATCTGATGATTCTGTCCATCATAAATACGTGTTTAGGTGAATCTAGTCACCTTTAATCCTGTATCCGAATCCGGCTTTGGGGTCCTAAGAGTTTTTGTCTAGAATAGATTAAAATCTTATAGTGCACACCAAGCCAGAGATAATAACTATCAGAATGACATTTGAATACCCTCTTGGGTAATGCAGAGTCCTGCAGAGGTGCCAGAAAATTTCTGAACTCCACATTTGCTGTGAGGTAACCTGACCCTATCTTGGCCTCATGGAGCAAAAGACTTGACAAAATAGCCCTGTTGTGGTTTTCAAAACACCATCTGCCATTCAACAAGCATTATCTACTGTTTCCAGGCTAGAGATCTAACAGTAAGGAGACTGTACCTACCATCAAGGAGCTGAAAGTTGAGTGAAGGAGCAAAATAGATGTGTAAATAATGGAATGTTGTAGGTGCTAGGATGTGAGTTAGTCGCAGGGAACATGGAGGTGTGTACAGCCTTGGAAATTGGGAGCCTTCCTAGAAGTGCTTTCTTGCTCAGAAAGAGCTATACTTTCCTAAGCACATCAGGCCCTTCTCCAAGAGAATTGTTGTTAATAAAGACTGTCATTATTCTATTATCTTACTGTAATAAAAAGTATTATTAGGTATTACTGACCTGTTTTTTCCTCACAGCTCTAGTCTTCTCAGGTAATAACTTATTGCCACGGCTACCAGGGAGGAATCCACATGCCTACTGTCTTGGTGCCCTGTATAAACTTGCCTACATAGGATTATATCAATCTTAGAATTCTGACGCCTTGTTTTCCTGCCCTGACTACTGCCCAGGAAGCGGAATCGAACATGGCATTCCTGGCTATGCACACAGCAAGGAAAATAGAACAGGTCATCAATTCTGAGTGATCAATTCTGACTTCAAAATGAGCATGGCTTTCTGATTTAAAACACAAGTGTCCATTCAGAAATTTTCCAGGATTCAAAGGTAAATTTCCTGGTGTGTGGCTTCTGGAATTCAGCTTTTACCCCTTAAATTTAGCCTTTTGCCCAAGCTCAGTGTTCTGGAACATTTTCTATTTTCTTGTTTTTCACAATTACTGGTAGTAATTTAACCTACATGTATATGTTCCCACTAACGTTGGGATTTTGTTTTTTATCTGAGCCTATAAATGATCAATTCTTTTTAATTATAGATGCTCTTTGTTTTTTGATAACACCACACTTATTTTCATTGCCCTTACTACTAAGGTGACCATGTAATTTTTTTCATCCAAACCAGGACACTGAGATGAAAAGGGAGCATTAGTAATAATTTCACCAGGACAACAGATGTAAATCAGGACTGTCCCAGACAAACTGGGATGTATGATCACCCTGCTCCTAACCGGATCTTACATATTTTCATGTTTGGATATCAATCTTAATAAAGATGAGAAAGATGCACTTTCTACCAGGCATCTGTCATCTTTGAACAGTCTTCTTAATAAAGCCTTTAAAAAAAACCATTTTAAGGATTCTTAGTATATTTCTCAAGTCTCCACTCATTTTAGGTGTCTCCCTAACACTTCTCGTAGGTACACGATACCTTTTTTAAGTTAATGTGCATTTCCTTTAAACTTTGGGGAAAAAATGGTAACAATTAGTAACAGCAACTAACATTTGCAGTTGCTAGGAGCCAGGCACTATTATAGGCACTGAACATGAATTTAGTCTTTTAATCCTCATAACTACCCTGTGAGATAGCAAGGTATCAAGGTAGGAAGGAGGGAGACTTAAGGACATCCTGAATTGTTGACCCCCAGTGTACCCTGATAAGTGGCAGCAACCTGTTATGAACATTAAAACCTATAGAGGAAAGAAAGGGAACTATGCAGGACTAGTAAATGCCGCTGGATTCCTTTTCATTCCTATCAGCTAATTGAGCAGCTGTTTGTTGGAATAAGTACATGAACCTTAGCATTCGAGACCCAGGTTCAAATCCTGTCAAATGCTTACCTCTTCAGCCCCGCCCTTGCCCAATGCCAATACCTGCTTGCTTGACACGACCATTACATTCCTGTTGCTGCACCCTGTTTCAATACTACTCTGTCAGACTATCAATACTTCTTGGATTCCTGCTATTCTGACCTAGCAATCCTAAGGTAGGATGGAAAATAAGTCAGTCCAAATTTTCTCTGTATTTCTTCAGTGATTCAGGTCCTGTATCTTCTCTCTTCCAAGTCATGACTTTTAATTGGAAAAAGAGATAGAAATATCTTCACCTGCAAATTCTGAAAATTTAAATTCATGATTTCCAAGTCCTGGAGTTGTTGTTTGGATTTCTTCTGTTGCATCATTCATTCCTGTTAATATATAAAAGTGGGTACTAAGCAAGGATTTGATATGTCTTAGAAAGCTATTTCATATTTCAATACACGTCCCCAAAAGAGAGCAGAACTCACATGCTATTACCTCATCACTCATCATCTAACAATCACTAACAGGAATGTAGTTTCTTTTTTCCTTCTCATCACTGTATTTCATGGCAAGAAGTACTCAAAGAAGATGATATGATCCCTGCCCTGAAAGCAGATTACAGTCTAGTTGGGGAGATCACACCACCACCAGTGAAAGAATTTTACCCCTCTGAAGTTCGAGAACATTGCAGAATTAACCGTAAGTGAAAACCGGAGCCACTGAATTGCAGTGGTCAAGAAATATTCATGTAGAGATGGAAAACGATTGTGAAGGACTTGGACACTAAGAAGTAAGTTTCATGACTGTTTTCTCAGTGGGTTTTCAATAAATATGGAATGACTATTAGGAACAAAGAGGGCATTCAGTGTTAAGCAGATGATCTCTTAAGCAGAGAGGGAAGAAAGCACAACCTGTGGGAAAGGCAAATATGTCAAATATACCAAGAACTCCACCAAATGTGAAGTTTAATACTAACTTCCCTGGCAAGAAGGCAAAATGAGGAACTCAGAGGAGTAATAGTCTTATCTGACACAAAGCAATATATCAATTCCTATGAACAAAGAAGTATTAAATTTTAAATAGATAACATCTTAGCCTATTTCCATCCAACCAGCTTCATCACTCAGGTGTGTTTAATTTCTTAGTTTTCTGTGAGCCCACCATGTTATGTTTTGAGCCCTTCGTCCATAATTCCGTCTTCAATCAGGCGTATTCTTCTTTAGGTACTCTCAAATACCACATGTTCCACAAAGCCTGCTCCTTCTTTTCCAGAGTTTGGTCCCTCCACTCTGTGTGCCCTCGTATTACTTTGCTCATTCCTCTCTTAGGGCACTTACCATGTTTTACTGGGATTTACTTGCTTTAGGTATCTGAATTCATTAGCCTGAATGGTTTACAAGGGTAGAGTCTATAGGTCTAGTATTTTTCTATGTATGGCCCCAGCACTCAACACACAACAGGCCTTCAGTTAAATGTTGGTTAAGTAAGTAAATTTATTGCATGTTTCCTTATTCGAGCACCACTCAGCAACATTATAAATGACAAATGAATTCAGTAAGCTTTACAGAATTTGCAGAACTTCTTGCCATTGGGCCTTTTCTTGTGCTGACCCTTGCTAACACCAAGAGTTTAACAATAAAATGGAAAACATCTTTAGGGGGTTTAGATAATGAAACCCAAGTAAACATCTTTTTAGTGATTAACCTTAATACAAGAAAATCTCAACTACTTGTGAAGTGTATAGAAAACACATACCATTGAATGTCTTTCCCAAATATTAAGTTTTTCACAGGAGCTGGACAATGGCTGGAGTATTCATTCAAGGCTGGAGTATTTATGCTCCTGAAGAATACTTGTGCTTTAGCTATCAAATGCACAGGTGACAACACTGACATTGTTTTGAAGGTTAAGAAATTGAATGCAATTTCTTTGGGTGGAAAAAAATATTTTCTTCAAGATACAAGTTTTAGGCTTGTCCAAGAGCTTAAACAAACCTCAGCTGACTATTATAAAGTAATATAGAAATTATTTTAGACCAGAAAAATGTAAACATGGTTTATTACCAGTTTGAACCTTCACCATAGAAAAACCTTGAAATCACTCTTGTGGATATTTAGTGGCATTGTCAGATGGTGAGTAATGAGTTTCAAGAGACAAAGCTGGGGCCAGAACATAGAAGGCTGTGAATGCCAATCTAAGGGATTCAAACTTTATTTGGTATTCAGTGGGAGCCACTGAAAATCTTTCAGCAGAAAAATGAAAGATGGGCATGGTTGTTAATTCTTGTGGCAGTGATATGAGGAACGGAGCCACTTAAAGTTGGGGGAAGATCAAGTGTAGGGTGTGAGGTAATAGTCTTTTACTAGAGTGATGGCCATGGATATATTTAGAAATGGATGCAACAAACATTTAAGGGAGAATTGACAGGACAAGGCTTGATGTAAGGAATGGAGTCAAGTTGGTGACCACTAAATTGGAAGATTCATGGCTGGGATAGGAGAAGACAGCTGCCCCTGATTTTAACAAATGTTGCTACAAGAGACAAAGCCAAACTAGGACTCTGAGCTCAGGATTCCCCATCCAATTATCTTTCCATTGTAGCTACTGCCTGATTTGGAATGTTAAAGCTAGTCTGAAAGACCTCGAGCCTTAGCAGGTAACTTGATATGGCATAACACTCAGTGAAATTACCTTCAGGATTTTTTTTCTTAGACCCTGGTTATAATCCTATCTCTTGTGCCAACTAGTTTTGTGATCTGGAACAAATCATTTGCCTTTGACACCTTTTATGGTTTTTTTTTTTTTTTCAATTTAATATTGCACAGATATATTTCTTATCTCCCATTTCTATATGAGAGTAGCAATGTGGATACATACCATGTGGATCCTTTACATTGATTGTTTATAATACCTAAGAAGTTTCTTTGTAAAAGGGCATCAAATTAATGAATGTAAATTGTGAGAAGCACCTGTTAAAAACAACAAAGTATTAATTTAAAAACAAAAAATACCCCCAAACTTTTAATATTAATTTAGGCTAGAAGAGAAACTCCCCTACCTTTTATTAGGCCTCTGATTACTTAAGAACATTATCTAACATTCGTTAAGTACCTGTGAACCACAGCCACATTCTACTTTATAACAAGAAAACACCTCATTTCCCAGGAGAACTTCCCCCCCAGGCTTGTCTTCATCTTTCCTTGTAAGATTTCATGTGGCAGCAAGGAAGGACAAAGGGGACCCTGAGAAACACCTTTCATATTTAAGGTTAACACAAAGCATGGTTTGGTTTCTGCACTTTAATGGAAGAAAAAGGTTCCATATTATATAGTTACATTACAGGTTTCCTCAACTTCTTGTGATTGATGTTACCAGTATTTGATTCTTACTCCTGTACAAAAATCTTAGAGCACTTAAGGGAGGGCAGGAGGCAGGCAGCCCACAAAAGGAGGTTTTTGGACTCATGGAATTCTCCCTGCACAGCACTGAGTTTCAGTATAACCTCAGAATCCTCCAGGAACTCTGGCCAGTTCTACACAGCACCATCATACCCTCCTTTCTGGGATGGTCTGCAAAATGTCTTTGGAGGCAATTCTGAAAGAACAGTTTCAAAATTAGTCTAAGTAATATTAATACTAGCATCACTACAGTAAGTACATGATTTCCCAAGGGTATCATTTTAAAGGATAATCATTTGATCTATGAATTATGATAAATTTGTTTTAAAAAGCATTAAAGTTTATTTTTAAATTACATAAAAAGCACTGTTTAAACAATGGTTATAACCAGTAAACATTAAGAAAACTTGTAGGCAGGTGGATGGATTGAAATACTCTTGATTTTATAGTTTAAGGGCCAAATTGAACACTGTGTATGTCTGCATCAGCTACCATTAAAAACTTTGAGGCTGCTGGACACTCAGTGAGGAATCAGAAGTTTTTTAAAAAGATGCAAATGAATGGAAAGTGTCATTGCAAAGCCTATTTGGTAAAGCAGAATGGACGACCCAATTTTTTTTTTTTTTTTTTTTTTTTTTTTTTTTGAGACAGGGTCTTGTTCTGTCACCAAGGCTGCTCCTGAGTTCAAGTGATCCTCCTACTTCAGCTTCCCATGTAGCTGGGACCACAGGTGTGTGCTATGCCACACCCAGCTAATTTTTAATTTTTTTCATGCAGAGTCTCACTATGTTGTCCAGGCTGGTCTCAAACTCCTGGGCTCAAGTGATCCCCTGGCCTCTGCCTCCCAAAGTGCTGGGACTGCAGGCATGAGCCCCTGCCCCGACCTCCATCTCAATTTTGTATAGAGGCAGTATAGTATGAGAGACATAAAACAGTTTTTGTAGCTCAACAGACCTAGTTAACATTCCTGCCTTCACCCCTTTGTAGTTGAGTAAACCTCTGCCAATTATTTTCTCTGAGGCCCAGTTTCCTTACTTGTAAAATGCCTGGTGAAGTGCCTGGCAAACAGAAGATATTCAAGAAATTCCAGTTCCTCTGTGAGAGTGTTTTTTTCAAGCTAAGGGTTGCAACCCATTGGTAGATATCAATTTAGTGGGTTGCAACTGGCATATTTTAAAAACTGAAAATATAAAAAGCATCAGAATGGTACATAATGTTCATTAGGCATATTCTAACGTTTGATATAAATGCGTTTTTTACTGTGGGCTACAGCCAAAAGGTTTGAAAATCTCTGCTCTACAGATAAATTCTCAGGTTAAAAAAAAAAAGTCCTTAGGATTGCTGCCTTTATCCAAATGAGGGCCCACAAATTTTAAGACCTTAATCAAAGTGTTCCCACTTTCTAACTTGTCGTAGTAAAAATAAGACATGAATTAGAGAAGATATTTAATCTAATACGATAAAACATTAAATTCAATTTTAAGATTGGTTTCTGCGCCATACTATTTTATGCTTATAAACACTATCGTTCATAGTTGATCAAACTCTTCTAGCAATTTCTATGAAAAACTTGGCTATTAGGTTCCATTATAGGGAAATGAGATACTTTTTAAAAGTACTATAACTTGCCTATATGTGAAGACCGCTAGAGTAATATTCCAATCCTGATGAGCAGTAAAAGTCAAGGGCTTATACGAATACATACAGTGGTGTTCCACACTGGCTCAGTAAAATTGAGAGATACCAACACAAAGTGTGAGCTTCAAATACAGGCTTCCTTTCTCCTTCAGGTCCTTATGTAAACCAGGCTTACCTTATAATGAATCCCTAGTGCTGCCACTAAGTTGGTGGGCTGAAAGGATAGCCCACTTGGGGGGGAAGAGAGGGGTAATATGCAGTGATGAAGAAGGGTAGAATACTGGGAGTTTCAGAATTAAATGACACAGCTGAATCTTGATGTAACTGTATCTTAGATTTATAATTTCAGCTGACTATGCTGGACTGGTGATGTCAGAATTACCCCTGGAACAGAGGTTTAGGAATCTTGCTTTAGTAAGTGCTGGGTGAGTTCTGATCCTCATTCAGGTTTGATCACCCTGTGTTAAAGGGACAGAGCAAGGTCCAGAAACTAGAGAAGACGTGTAGTTCAAAAGTAATTATCCCAGCCTCACAGGTGTCCAGTATCAGATACTGGATCAGAATCTGATACTTATTCAAATATTTCCTTCTTGGTATTATTAATATGTTAATGATACAAAGCAGCAGAGAGCAATACTTGCTACTTTCTAGTTATTTAATGATACTAAGAAATGGCGCTGTTTCACTGGAATTCATTGATGAGATTCAAGAAGTATGAAAGAGAAAGTCTCTTTAGACAAGGACATGAAAGGTAGCCATCAATAAAAGTTACTAAAAGTAAACTCACAAAGAAAGCAGTGATAAACCGTCCAATCCCCTGATGAACCTTAACTCCTGGCAGAGAGACAGCTCACACCACCTGGGGTGTAGGTGCCCATTCCTGTGCTCAGAAAAAAGAGTAAGTAAGGCAAAAGGTGATTCCCTCCTATTTTAAATGAGTTGGGGAACAGAGGGAAGCTGCCCATAATCTTAAATTCTTTTTTTCCAAATTTAAAGCCTTTCTACAGTTTGAGATAGACACGTGGTTGGGCTGGACCATGCTTGCTGTGAATGTCAGGTGTTGAGATTAGCACCACACCCTTCCCTGGGTCTGAGTCTTGCATAGGTCTTTGTTCATCATTGTCCAGAATGTGAGAAAGGTAAGCACGGGTACACCATTTTGGGGAAGAAACAGCAGCAAGAGAAACCAAAGGGATGCATAGGAGATAAAAAGTCTGGGGAAAAGGACGGTAGTAACAGAAATGAGGTAGCAAGCGAGTTCTCAGCTCCCCCCAGAGATCAGCTGAAAAGAAGACTGGGTCAGATATCCCCTCTCTGGCAGATATATCACCCCTCAAAAGTGGAGCATGCCCCAGGAAATGTTCTTGGTGGTTTTTTCTCCTTGCTCATTTTAGCCCAAACTCTAACAATGTTGAAAATATCTGGAAATTTCTTTTTTTCTTTTCTTTTTACCTAGAGGTTATAGGAAGGGATGAACAGAGATGAGAGACAAGACAAAAAAGGTTATGAGAGAATTCCTCATTATACATGGGTAGAATTCGCCCCAAAAACCAAAGAACTTTTTCATAATTACAAGGGAGGGACGGCACAGGGCACAAGATCTTTGAGGTGTTAGGAGACAGGCTGACAGACCAAGCTTGGTGACTGGCTTAATAAGTCTCCTACCATTTGAAATTGTGTTATTTATTTAAAGAGAGGCAGAGGAAGAGTTCAGAAGCCAGAAGATTTTGGGAAGAGAAGTTGAGCCTCTTTCATTTTCTTACATCATTAATTTCCTTCACCAGAAAATATAGTTGGACCAAACTGCAATAGGGTTCGCCAATGGACTCCATTATGCAGTCCACCTGTGCTCCTCACTAGGCCCTGATTTCCCTATCCGGTAACAAAGGCTTCTGAACTCTTATTCTTTTCCTTGCTAACAAACCTCAATAATCTACACTTAGCCTTAAGGTCTCCAATTCAGGGTTATGGAAGAAACTAGTCTTCCATAACCCAATATTTCTACACATCTCAAGTCCTTATCAGAGTTAGAGGTTCAGTGTTCACATTTCCAGGGAGAAAATCTGCTCCTTGGCAGTCTTCAAACTTAGCTGACATACATTATACACCCTCAGCCCAGGGCCTCAATCTTTAACATCTCCATGAACACCCCAGCAAACAACAAAATATATCCACTTATCACACTTCAATCCCACTTGAACATCAGTAGCCACTATCTTGATATACTTGTGTTCCAAAAGGTGAAGGAGGGTCCAACAGCAGCAAAGATCCTCATTAGGGTACACATGTTGGCACCAATAATCCTGAAGTTTGGTTTTTAACTGCATTTCTTGTCAGTTTGGCTGGGAAGATCTGGACAGCTGGAAGTGAGCTTCTCCATCATTTTCTGTTTCTTTCTTTGTATCAGTTTTCCACCTGTGAAGCCCAACACCCCACCACCAAGTGCAGCTGCAATTCCTGCCACTTTGAAGCCTGCAAGGAGGCCAATAGGACCCCCTACCATTCCTCCGATCAGTGCACCTGCCACAGGCAGAGCTGCCAGCTTGTATTTTGCAGCCTGTATAAAAAAAAAAAAAAAAAAAAAAAAAAAAATTCAATTTAGAAATTGAGTTGAGAATATCTGCCTGTGATGTGCGTTTTCCTCTCATTACTCCTGGCAATGCCTCTTTAACTCTTGGTACATAATTAACCTTAGAGACTGTACTTGTAGGGGGGAAAAGAAAGTATTCCACAGGTACAGCAATTGCTCCAGATCTCAGAACTTAGAGAGCTGAGCTACAAAGAGTGGACTGCTACAAATTGATTTTACTTGCAAAACAATCAATTCACTAACTATCTGGCTGGCTTATTTAAACTGTTTCGGCAGCCACAGATTTCCCCCAAAGCTTTTATGTTGCACAGAGATTATTCTGTGCTGTGTGCCTGGGGTTAAAAGCAACATCCTATGGAAAATAGATGGTCCCACTCCACGTGTGCTGTCACATACTTACACTTTCACCCTCTGCAAATATTTCCTGGTAACACCAAATACCTTATAGCAGGGCTACAGTTTATTCTCTCTTTGAAGAAATTCCTCTCCTGATAGAATGAATCTTAGAGTAGAATATTACAACATTGATTTCTTGCACTTCCTATGTGTCATTTCTTCCTTATTTCCTTAATTGCTGGTTCCCTCAACATTGAAGAGAGCAGATCAATTGGGTTAATACTAGAGATTCCTGGGAGCCAGAGTACCATTGATTTGTCAGCAGGAGCAGAATCTTACCTTCCCCAAGTTTTTGGTTCCCTCTTCAACATTCACAGCGGCACTGTTGACATGGTCTGCAATGCTGTCAATCTTCTCCTGCTGAGACTAGATGCAAAGGAATTATGAGTGAGCGGTCCTGCTGGGGAGCAGCAGGGAGTCAACACACACTATTTTAATTCCTGTAATCAGGGCCGCAGGTACTGCAGCCTTGCCGTCTTAATAGTGGTTCATTAATAGCATCTGATAAGCCATGTCGAAAGGACCAATTAACTTTCATAAAAAAAGGGGGGGTCTTAATTATTAGGTAATAAAAGGGTGGCAACTTTACAGCAAAAACCATCTCACACTAAAATTCACTCAAACATACAAATATATTATTCTCCAAATGAATCTACTTTCCAGAAAAAAAAAAAATCCAAATAATCATTTACATGTCATGTTGGGTTTGATGGAAAAAAAAAAAAAAACCCCAAAACACCTCCCTAACTTATCTTCTTGGAGGATTCAGTTTAAATCAGGCACATTTACCTTAGTAGTAAAATGCCCTTGGTCCAATAAATACAAATTGTGATGTTTCCGGAACAAGACTACAATATGGTTTGATCTACTATGCGATCTTTCCATTTGTAATATGCAGTAGGGAACAGTGAATGAATTCACTGTTCTGTGCTTTATACCTGTATATCTTAACACATTGTAAAATCATGACAGTTTAAAATGTTTCAGATCAAATATATTAATAAAGCATTCTACATAAAATGGCAACACCTGTGCTGGCACAACAGCAACTATGGCTCATGGAATCTCTGGGTAGAAGGAATGTTGAGGTCATCAGGTCAGTCTCCTCTCTGATGTGCGAAGCCCTACTAAAACATTCCTGACAAGTGGTTACTGAACCTCTGCTCAGAAACCTCCAGTGACACGAACTGATTACTTGCTGTAGGAACACATTCCCATTTTTAATTCAACTTTACTTAGATAGAATTTACATATAACAAGTACTGCTTTTAATGGTATAGTATGAGATTTAGTAAATGTATAAACCAACAATCACAAATGTATAAACAACAAATGTATAAGCCAACATATAATCAACTATCGCAGTTTATAGACCATTTTGGTTTTGTTTTTTTTTAATGTGCAGAAAAAAGAGAATCTCTCTTTGATCCTAGATAGATGCCACCTACAATGAGGGTGAAATAATTAACTTTAATCCTGAAGAGTTTGATTGCCCTTATATAATTGGCCTATTCATTTATATTGAGGCAGATACAAATAACACTTTTCTAATTCCAACCATTATTTCATTTGAAAACATGAAGCCCAAACCACACAGCTATTTTTTCCCATGTTTGTTTCCTCTTAGCATTATTGATATTCCTTCCCTTCTCATACACAAAATATGTCTGTCTTCGCCATTGTGGTATCCCTTCATTCCAATATTCTCCACCACTATCCTGACATCTCTAACACAATCCCTAAGAAAGTCCCTTATCAGTTTTCCTTTGAATGTCTCTGTTAGAGACAAGTTTAACAATGGTTCTCAGTCTTCCACCTGGAGGCTTCTAAAAACACAAATTGCTGGGCCCAATCCCCGGTGTTTCTGATCCAGTAGGCCTGAGATGAAGCCTGAGCTAGTAAGCTCCCAGGTGATGCTGATGCTGCCAGTCCACAATTCTCACGCTTTAAGAGCCACTATTACATGTGCTCAGATCAAGGGCATCACCTTTAGTCAGGTAATCTGTGTTCGTATCTCAGCAAATGTCACCATGTGCTCTTAGACAAATTACTCAAGCTCTCTAGGTGTCAGTATTCTCATTTATCACGTGAGAATGATGATACTTACACCTTCATAGAGTTGAAGTGGGGATAAAATGTGTTTGCAAAGTGTGAGGGGGAAAAATAGAAAAATTCATCCTGATTTCCCCAAGGAAGTGTTAACTCTCATCTTTCTATCAAAAAAATATATTTAACTTTTTCTTTTGAATCTTGACAATTCTAGGACACTAAAACATTAGGTATCTTTTAGCATTCATTCAATTTTTGTTTTCCTCAATAGCAAAACTTATTTAAGTCAGCTTTCTTTTTCTGACCCATAGAAGAAAAAGTTCCAGCACTAATAATATACAACTTGTCTAGATTTCTGACACCCTATCATTGTTTCTATTTAGGACACCCCCAACACTTTCCACTCTTGCCTGAAACAGTCTATGCTAGCAGATAAATCAGAGGCTTAAAACTCTATCATCAGCCGTCATATGTTGATGAGTTGATAGGTAGAAGAAAAACAGTCAATGTGTCTCCCTTCCTTCAGCCCCAAAATAATTCCAGCAAGAGGGAGGAGCCTGCCAGGATTATTGCCATTTCTATACCCCAAGTGTAATCGTAAAGCCTCAGGGAAATACTTTTTAATGTTCCTTCCTTTAAAAACGGTTGGATATTGTATTTCTATGACTTTTTAAAATTAAAGCAAAACTTTAATACAATTTAAATATTTTTTCATAAAAATCATTTGGAATAACTGAAGCAACCACAAGAAAAAAACCAATCCTGAGATCACTAATTATTTGAACTACAAAGTTCCCCATCATTGCAATCACCAGCATTTGATGAGGCCCATCCCACTCTGGGGAGTAGCCCACATCTGTAAGTAATTATTCATGCCATCAGAAAGCATGCTAAAATATGGGGCTGGGGTGTGGGGAGAAGGCAGAGGGCAGACAGCCTTTATCCTGGGATCAATAGCCACCCCTCGATTGTGCACATCTGCCTTTCTCTGGCCCATATTTTGCTTGGTTTGCAACTTCAAACTTTGCCCATATCTTCAAATTCTGCTTCTTAAGGAGGACTCACCGACCCCCATAAAGGTTACATTTAGCCAGCAAACTATTGTCACAGAGTTGTCAATCACCATCAGTAGAATGCCAAATTAGACTCCATACAGTGCTGAACTGGGTCACTACCTGTCCACTATGTCCTTGGCTCTTTTTGTGGGACCAAAGGATACATATACAATCCTGCCCCAGCCTGTGAAATCAAGCTCCAAACATTAACTGTGGTGCAGGAGGCTCCTCACCTCTATCTATCAATCTCCCCTGAGGTTTTGCTTCTGATTTGTTCATGTTTATTTTCATCTGCTTAGGCCTCCCGCATCTTACAATCTTCAAATTCCATGCCTGCCATTTTATAGTTTGGCACCCCATATATGTTCTCAGCATTCCTTTAACAATGAGCTAGGCCGGGCGCGGTGGCTCAAGCCTGTAATCCCAGCACTTTGGGAGGCCGAGACGGGCGGATCACGAGGTCAGGAGATCGAGACCATCCTGGCTAACCCGGTGAAACCCCGTCTCTACTAAAAAATACAAAAAACTAGCCGGGCGAGGTGGCGGGCGCCTGTAGTCCCAATTACTCGGGAGGCTGAGGCAGGAGAATGGCGTAAACCCGGGAGGCGGAGCTTGCAGTGAGCTGAGATCCGGCCACTGCGCTCCAGCCTGGGTGACAGAGCGAGACTCCGTCTCAAAAAAAAAAAAAAAGTTGTGAGAAAAACAGTAGGCTGAAGCCATATTTAGGTGTTTGACTCACATTGCACTACTGATGTTTCTCAAGCTAGGTAATATATAGACCTTTTTACAGAAAAAAATTCTCCAAATGACTCTAGAATATGTCTATGATTTCATTTTAAAGAACATAGCGAGACTCCGTCTCAAAAAAAAAAAAAAAAAAAAAAAAAAAACAATGAGCTAAACCATATTTAAGTGTTTAGCTCATTACACTGCAGTGTTTCTCAAGCTAGAGTAATATATAGACCCCTTTTTACAGAAAAAAAAATTCTCAAATGACTCTAAGAATATGTCTATGGATTTCATTTTAAAGAACATTGAATTAAGTCCCCCTATTGGCCTGAACATAACAAATCTTGATGAACAGCCATAGGAGTACCTAAGTTTCTGTATAAACTGTGATTTATTATACTTGTCAAGCAGAATACAATTTGGGAATATAAATTCAAAACCAATGAATTGTTTTGTTCTTGAATGCCTGTTGGGGACACTTGTAGGCCTAGCATCCTCTATGTCAAGCAATAATAATACTTTCAAAAATTAATCCCCAAATCCATTTATATCATTAACAATGGTCTTCCTTGGAGAGTTCTGATAGTAGTTGTAAAGTTTAAGGTTCTTGGAAAGCTATGAGTTTATTTAAGAAGGTAATACCAAAACTCCAGGTACTTCCATTTATTCCTCTCTAAATTCCAGCCAGCCTTCAAGGCCAAGTTCTAATCTTAGATCTTGACCAATCCTGTTCACATTGAGCTATTCTGGTTCTAAACTCCTATGATATATTCTATATACTCCTTAATCATATGCAATCATATATACAAAAAGGCCCAGAAACAAACTTACAAATACTATGATATATAGGCAAAATAAGTGGTTATATTGGCCTTGAGTAAGCAATAAGCAGAGTAGATATGTAGGATGTTGCTATCAAAGGATTCAGCAGTTGGAAAGGTATTGAAGGAATTCCAGTACTAAAATTTAGCCTAAGGATAATAGTGATGGAAAAAGTAGAATTTTTGCAAGGAGCCAAACAAGGAATCAAAATAAAGGAAGGATAAAAGTGGGAATGCAGTTGGGGTCAGTGGAAGGGAAGAGAATGGGAAGTACTTAATAATACACATTATCTCATTTAGTCCTCCCATCAATGTTATAAAGCTCATTGCTGTCAAATAACATCCTGAAGGTCACGTAGGTAATAAATGAAGGAATCTGATCTAATCCATTGCAACCAGTTTTTACAGTTCCAGAGTAAAACTGGATTACAAAAACCACAGGGAATAAGGCAAAAGGCAGAAGTCAAAACAGACCAGCAGGAAGGGTGAGTTGTTACTGAACTACTGGCCCAGGGTTCTTTAAATTCTCCTTGACTAGAAATAGGGCTAGTTACAAAGTTATAGGAAGAGAATAGGGCACCTGAACAACAAAGGTTGAAGAAAAATAGAGCAGGGTACCTAGTAGATATTAATTTATTAACATTTATTGAACTATACCTTGATCTGTCAATGGCTTTGTAAGTTCTTTTTATAGTGGTAAAATAAATATAACATAAATTTAGCATTTTAACTATTTTGAAGTGTACAATTCAGTGGCAATAAGTACCTTCACAATATTGTGCAACCACTACTACTATCTTGTAAGTTTTTTTAAATGCTTTTTCCTGTTCCTCATTGAGCTTAGCACAGTGCTACGCACATAGAAAGTGTTCCTTAAATACAGGGTTAATTTGTCTAGATGCCATCATGTCCATGTGATGAAAATGAAAGGATGTGGTCACTCTGATTATGTTCCCAGGTCATTCTGTGCCTAAATAGAGCTTCTGTGAATCCTTGGCCATGTGGTCATGAGAACTTAGTCACCCTGGGAATAATAATCAGGGGTTCTCCTTTGAGCTTTTGCTTATTAGCATTCTGTCTCATGTACTTATACAGATTATTATAAATAGGACATTTGTATAAAGCTGTGGGTACAGCCAGAGTTTTCCTGCACAAATCTCCCTTAGATTAGAGGTTATGAGCTGCTTATATAATGTAATCCAACATGTAACTATCATATGGTCACAAACCTTTAATATTTCTTTTATGTGCCTATCCCGGTAGAAAAGAAATGTGTTTGTATTGAGTAAGAACTTTGTACATGTGTAGTTTGTTTTTTAAAATCAGCTTTATTGAGGTATAATTTACATACATTAAAACACATTTTATGTGTACAGATCAATGACTTTTGGCAAGTGTATATATTTGTGTAACCATACATGTATAGGTTTTACAAACTGCACTGGATTCAGCGATTATTAGTTTACAATAGTTGAATAAATATTGATTCTGAAACAACAGATATTTTGGGATTCTTGTTCTATTATTTCCTTCTGTTTGCGAGTATATTAATATTGTACAGATACCTAATCCAGAAACTTCAAATATTTTGCTTCTTCTAACTTAGAGGCATCCAGAAGCAATTCAATTTACTGCATTCTATTTTAGGTAACACATTTCAAGAAAATATGCAGAATATGGAACATAAGCAGAGTAAGAAGCCAGTATTGAGAAGCCTAGAAATTATATTGTAGAAGGAATGCAAAAGAAGCAAGGGTTCTGAAGAGAAGAAAATATGGTGGGGTGGGATAGAGTGAGGAAGGATGATGGTTTCAAAACCTTGAAAAACTTCCATATGGAAAGAAGACAACATTTGTTCAGTATGTAGCTTTAGAGGCTAAAAATGCCAAAAAGAAGTTATTATAGGGCAGATACTTTTAACTCTAACTGTTCTAAGAGTTAGACCTTCCAAATGTAATGGTTTAAGTATCAATATCCTTGTGCTGTAATTGTTCCAAAAGAGGCTAAAAGACCATTTATTTGAGACACTGGGGCAAGAGTAGAGGGATTAGACTGGTTGGCCTCTTGAGTCCTTTACCATTCCAATTCTGATTGTGTGATCTAGGAACTTCTCATTTAAAACTAGATTTCAGGGAAACCATAATTCAAAGATAAACAACCCCAAAATCATGGTTTGATCAGGAACAAAGAACTAAACCTAGACAGAACTGCAAGCAGAAACTCCTGGGAAAAACAAATAAGAACAATTCAGAAAAATGATGGAAAATCTATCTTTCCTACCAAATTGACTTTGTGCTTCCTAATCTATGTTAACAGTATCACTGACACCCAATTATGCAGAATAAAGACAATGTTCCTTATCTTTGACTCCATCTTCCTCCAATTTCTGCTAATACTTCTCCCAGAAATATCTCTCAGCTGTCCTTTACCTTTACACTGGTATTGTCATTGCTCCAGGTGAACTCTTACAATTGATTCCTAACCAGTCTTCCTTTCCATGACCTCCTCTTCTCTTAGGCCATTATTCACAAAGCCAACAGTGATCTTTCTGAAGCACAGACTGAATTTCATGACTCTAACCTGCTCAAGAATCAGTATTAGGCTTTTTAATGCCTACAAAGTAAAGTTCAAATTCTTTAACATGGCATTCAAAGCCATCACAATCCGGCCCTCACCCTCCTTGCTTGCCCATGGTACCTTAGGCTTTGGTTATACTGCAGTACTTATCGTTCTGGAACATGCCTTACACTTCTCTACTCCATGTCTTTGTTCAGCCTCTCAAATATACTCCATAACTTCCCCCTGTGGACATTTAGTCATTTTTCAAGGCTCATACAAATACTGTCTACCTGTGTGAAGCTATCCTTAATGCTTCCACCTCATGACTCCTGCCTCCTTCCTTTGGAATTCAAGGCTTTTCCTTGGAGCTGATAATACCTCTCTTCATTCTTGCTTTTGCATTTAGCCATCATACTTGAAAGCTCAGTTTCTGGGGTCCGGGCCTATCTCCACTCACTGTAGAATGCTCAAAGGAGGCGGGGCGTGGTGACTCACACCTGTAATCCCAGCACTTTGCGAGGCTGAGGCAGGTGGATCATGATGTTAGTTCGAGACCAGCCAGACCAACATGGTGAAACCTCATCTTTACCAAAAATACAAAAACTAGCTGGGCATGGTGGCATGTGCCTGTAATCCCAGCTACTCAGGAGGCTGAGGCAGGCAAATCACTTGAATCCAGGAGGCGGAGGTTGCAGTGAGCCAAGACCATGCCACTGCATTCCAGCCTGGGTGACAGAGTGAGACTCCGTCTCAAAGAAAAAAAAAGAATCTTCAAAGGCAGAGAATGGGCTTCATTTATTTCTATATCCAACCTGATCACACCCTCAATGTTAAGCATCTAACACAGTGCTTGTATATAACAAGTGCTTAATATAAGTTTATTGAATTAATCTGGAATTTGAGAGCAGTTAAACTTCTATCTATGGCTTAATACCAGTTTTAAAAAGTCTAAGTTCTATTAAAATTCTAATTTAAAGCCTAGTGATTATAAAAGCTTCTCATTCTAATAATCCAACAATTCTGCATCCAAAACAGTTATATACTTACGTTCACTAGGAGAGAGAAGTCAGTGACCAGTTGGCTAAGTTCAATTAAGTCCTTTAAAAGAAAGGGAGAGGAAGTTACTTTTATGCCTCACAGCTACCAAAAAGAAAATATTTTTTAACATACCGCTTCTAAGGTTTCCCACGATTCTGCAGCATTTTGATCTTGAGGAATTTCAGGTAAGGCATATATCTGAGTCAAACTCTGAGAACTAGCTTCAGCTTCAGTAGTATGAAATGCTCCTGGATGAACATAATAACCCCATGTTTAGAGTTTATTTGCTTTGTTAGAAAGAAGATAACATAAATTGATTTCATAAAACAAATGCCATGTTAAATGCTCTCTAAATTTAGGCTAAAAGGAAATTGATTATTCTGCAAAAATAGAATTTGGCTGGGTGCAGTGGCTCACACCTATAATCTCAGCACTTTGGGAGGCTGAGGCGGGAGGACCGCTTGAGCCCAGGAGTTCAAGACCCATCTGGGCAACAGAGTGAGACCTTGTCTCTACAAAGAAATTAAAAAGTTAGCCAGGTGTAGTGGCACACACCTGTAGTCCCAGCTACTTGGGAGGCTGAGGTGGGGGGGATCACTTGAGCCTGGGAGGTCAAGGTTGCAGGGAGCAGTGATCATGCCACTGCACTCCAGCCTAGGTGACAGAGCAAGATCCTGTCTCAAAAAACAAAAACAAACAAACAAAAAAATTATCCATGGGACAGCTTGTTCCCCAGATTAGTTAACACATTTTTTTTTTCTTAAATTTTTTCTTTTTTGTTTTTAATTGACACATAGTCTTGCTATGTTGCCCGGGCTGGTCTTGAACTCCTGGCCTCAACTGATCCTCCTGTTTCAGCTTCCCAAAATGCTAGAATTACAGGCATAAGCCACGACACCAAGCTTACACACATATTTTTTAACCTACACAGTCATCTAAAAAATGGCTATAAATATCAACTATCCAATCTGAATAACTAGGGCTAGATGTGGAAGAAGCACCAAAGGAAAACTATTCTACTTGGTCAATGTTCCAAGGAGACGTACCTATATAAATAGGTTTAATACTTTTCATCCTTAAACTCCCATTTGGCTATTTCAGTGTAAATACCAGATACAGAAGGTGTTGAAAGCAGGGAAGTAATATGTTTTTATTAATGATAATCAGTCACTATTGGTAACAATAAGATTGTCACCAAACATTCTTACCATATGTGTCTTTTTTGTCACTACTCTTCTCCTCAGAATCAATCTTCTGGCCCATGCCTCCATTGCTTCTACTTCTTTTGAGTTTTAAAAAGTCATCAACCCACTAGGACTTTCCCCATTAAACACCACCATGATGATGAATTAATTCATACTTTAAAATCTACCTTCAAGTCTTTATTTCCTCATATTGGTTTTACCAATCATTCATTCATTGAGTTGACATTTATTAAATGCCTACTACCTGCTGATCAGTGTGCTGAGGTGCTGTAGACACAATGTTAAACCATAAAAACAGTTCGGAGGAGGCAACATAGTATAGTGGTTAGAAGCCTGGGCCTAGTCAGAAAGACTTGGGAGAATTCTGATTTGGCTATTTATTAACTGTTTGCTTTGGGTATTTCATCTCTTTGGCTGGTTTTTCTCATTTGTAAAATAAAGTGATATTCACTTTGCACAGTACCTGGGTTATATATAAAGTATAAGTGCTCAATAAATTAGTTACTGCTGCTGCTATTATTAACAGATCTTATTATAAAATGCACGAAACAGACATATTAATCATCAAGTTCAGCCAGTATAGTCTAATAAGAACTGTAACATTGGCAAGTATAGAGTGCTACGTGGGCATAGATGAGAGGTATTTAACCTAGACTTGTGGATGGGGAGAGTGGTCAGAGAAGGCTCTGCAGCTGAAGCCTGAGGATGAACAGAAATTACTATATAGGTGAACTGGTGCAGGGGTGGAAGGAGAAGCAAAGAGTATTCAGGTCAGAGAGAACAGTATGTGCATATGCTTAGGGACTGAAAAACGTTCAGTATAGCTGACTGTGATAAGGAGAAAAGTAAAGTTTAAGGCTGGAAATCTACTTTGAGATTATTCATGGCATTTGTAAACCATGTTAAACAGTTTTGTTTTTCACAAAAGATCAATATGTTACTATTAATAATAGTTGGAGACTACTGGGAAGGTACCATAATCAGATTTTAGATTTACAGAGAAAACCATAGCTGCCGTGTGAAAAACACATTAAGGATGAAGTTGAAAGGTGACAAAATTAGAAAGTAAAAAAACCACCTGAGATCAGGAGTTCGAGACCAGCCTGGGCAACATGGCAAAACCCCATCTCTACTAAAATACAAAAAGTTAGCTGGTGTGGTGGCATGCACCTGTAATCTCAGCTACTCGGGAGGCTGGGGCAGGAGAATTGCTAGAACCTGGGAGGTGGAGGTTGCAGTGAGCCAAGATCACGCCACTGCACTCCAGCCTGGGCAACAGAATGAGACTCCGTCTCAAAAAAAAACAAAAACAAAAACACAAAAACAAAAACAAAAACAAAAAAACAGTCTGAAGGCTTTCCAATATATCCAGTGTAACATGATGGTGATCTGCTCTAGGATAGTTACAATAGAAATGGAAACAAGAGATCTGAAGGTCCACTGTCTCCCGTTCACTTCAAGCTCTAAACACCTACCAGTTACATTTTCTGAGCACCCACTGAGTATTGTGTTAGGGTGCCAGGGATAAAAAGTAATTAACACAGAGTACATTCTCTCAAGTAACTTATATTTTAGAAGAGCCAGACACACAAAAAGAAATCATAAAACAATAGGAGACTGCATTGGTATCTACCTAGAATCAGACATATATACATAAGTATTTTATGAAAGTTCCCTGTGGGTGGCATCCAATCCAGTTTGATACGGTATGCAGCTCATGGGAAGCCTTTCTAGAAAACTTGATGTTACTAGGCAAAGAAGAGAAGAATATACATTCCAGGTAGAAAAACCAGTATGAACAAAGGCGCTCAAGGAAGAAACAATGTAGGCAGGTAAATCAGCAGTCTGATGGTACCAAAGCAAGAAGTAAAAGACAAGTTACAAGTATAAGCCTACAGATGGTCAGGAGGGGCCTTGCAGACCAGTTTAAGACTTTGAACTTTATCTGGCAAACCAAGGAGAGCTGTTGAAGTGTTATAAGCAGAGAAATGCCATGATGACATGTGGCACCTGATCTACTCCTAAAAGTAAGCAATTATAACTCTAAGTTCATATTCTCTCAATGACCCTTTCAGCCAAACCTATAACTAAAATAGTATTTTATAAAACTGTATTACTATTTTACCTTTAAAGCCTATGAATGCTTTACCTCTCTAGGAAAAGTGTTTCAATTGTTTAGGAAGACCATAGTCAATGGACTAAAAAGTAATTTGTAGATTTATCAGGACTGACAGTGTTTTTAATCTTATCTGAATATATTTATTTAACTTAAAGGAAGAGCAAAGGCAGGTGATACAGAGTAGGTTTTACATTAAAACATTACGGCAAATAGCCAATATTTTAAAAGCTCTAAATGATTTTTTACAAATGCTTAAAATAGTTACTCTATGCTTTACATTATCACCATAAAGACACTCTCATTTTCACTTCAACCAAGATAAATGAATTACTCTATAACCTTTCTTCTACTTAACATTTCCAGGTATTTATACTTCTTTAACATTATGATGAATAATGATAACTTCATTGTTATTAACAGATCAAATATAAAGGAGAACTTTATAACTATGACCACTCCAAATATTTTTTAAAGCCATAATTTATGTACTATTAAACAGGATTCAAATGAAGTTTGCGAGGGTATGCAACAAAATGAGGACTGATTATTATATATTAATACTTAATCTAAAAAATAACGAGTGGGAAATGTTTGACATTTTAAACAAACATAAAAGATTTCCCTCAGTAAAGAATAAAAATGTTTAAGTCATTTACGTCTCACTTGAAACCAAACTACGTATGCATCTTAGTTCAAATAGAGTCTTAGAACAAAGAGGTCCGTTCTCTTTCAGAAAAAACCCTGATGTAAACTTAAAACTCTAAACCTCGCTAATCAATTCAAGGCATGACTATCAATTAAAGTAAATCTTTTCATTTCTACAACTTCCATAATTCATTTATTCCAGCTTGCATTTAAAATCACTACCTCAGTGATGATCCTTTGACTTTGAACTTTTACAAACTGCTATGGACATGATAAGGCAAAACACTGAGATAGATTATAGTTTCAGGAAAGAAGGCTGAAGAACTTTAGATTTGTCTACAGAAGTAAAAAATTGCAACTGTTTCATATAACATAATCATCTCAGGTACTCCCACCCACACACAAACCGGAAGCATAAAGGGCAAGTAGAACATAGGACCTATCACCACTGTTTTTTAAACCCCAGAATTGGTTTTAAAACCTTATTGTTGGTTTAGTTGAAGTGAGAAATAAACGAAATAAAATAAGACTTTTCCCTTTTATACACATCCAAATATTCTCTCCCTCTTTCTCCACTTATGAACAGCAATGATTTTACCAAGAATTATAATATATAAAAAACTTCCACTAAACTTCACCACATAAGAAAAAGTTTTATTATAAATCTAAATTAATTCAAAAGCATTGCTGAAATATTTTCCAGTTCTGATAGTTTAAAAATAGTGAAATTAATTTGCTGATCATCTACATAAGCCTATCTATCAAAATAAAATTACTTCTAAGCATGGCTTAGCTGAGAATGAAGACTTAAAAAAAAAAAATTAAAACCAATAGAAAATACATCTTCTGAATCATATAATACAAACCATCTACATGTTTCACAAAACTCTTCAGTACATGTATATACCTGTGATAAAAATCTAAATTTCATCAAATTCAATATGCTGGTCTGAAGTTCCCAGCAGTTTTAAGATTATATTCTTTTCTTTTGTGAATATTTGTTTAAAATGTAATAAGATTCTGTTGCTTTTGCACTACTGAAGTGTGTGTCCTGAGAGTAAAGAAAGACAAAAATGGAGAGAAGCACTGATTCGCTCTGTGTGACTTGAATCACCTTTCTAAATACAAATCAGATTTGGAGGCTCCTCACTTCACTTGGGTGGAAAGCAATATGCTAAAAGTGAAACCAGACACACAAGTGAGACAGAAGGGAGTTTCTCAGATCAAGAAGATTGGCAGAGAAGATTTGCTTTAGGAACTCTCAGAATCTGGACAAAAGAAACAGCAAAATCATCACAGCTTCTCCCTAAACTTAATAAGCTTCTTTCATTCTCCAGAGAACATAAAACATCCTATTCTACTTGTTATTTCTATCTGTGAATGAAAAACTATTTTTGTATTTTTGATCTTACTCATGGAAATGTGGCAACATTGCTTCTGAATCTCTGCTGATGTTTCCAATCAATTTATTTAGAATCAGATTGAATTTGTAAAGTAAAAAGTATTTTAAGGCACTTAACTTCTATGCAATAAAACAGATTTTCCATATAGGCTGCTGCTACTATAATGAGTATCTAAAGCAAAAATAAGGAAAAACTGGAGAGCATAGAATAAAAACATGTAGAATGACAAAAAACAGTCTATAGCTAGAAGAAGAACAAATATGGAGCAAACTCAATTCCTACCCCACTATTAAAGTCTTACGTAAATTAGTTACTTCCTTCCTTTTCACTATTCATTTCCTTTCCATCCTCTTGATTATTTATTAATAATATTTCTGGATTTGAGGCAATATAGTAGAAACTCACACTTGGTGAAATACTCAGGCACTTGGTGAGACAGCAGTTTTTTAATTGCTTTATGTTGGCAGTGGATTCATAGTGAAAGCACACTATGACAAGCAGACTGTTCAGAATTCGAAATTCTATACACTGTTTTAGGTATAACCTAGGTATTAATTTTATTAATAGAATGACTGTTTCAATCAAATCAATACTAGTTACAGAGATTTAATTTTTTAGTTTTCTCCTAGTAATTAGGTCTTTAGTAGCCTATTTGGTGAATTGAAAAGTTTGAGAATCAAAAGAATTGGGAAGTGAATTTCACCTGCTATTTCTTCTCCCTCATCCTCTGGCTCTGCTCCAATTTTTTCCATTTCCTTTATGCACATACTTCTTCAAAATCTGCCAAACTTTTTTTTTTTATATCAATCAGCTTCCTATGGAGAAAGTTTATTTGCCAGCAAACTGGGTAAACTGCCTTTTTCTATTAATAACAATCACCCAATTCCTCTGATGATATATAAGCCCAAAGTTGTTGATCCCAAACAGTTCTACTGGTAGTAACACAAATAATGCAATAATAAAATGCAAATTAAAGCAAGTACTAGGGTATTAACATATTTTGAGAAAACTCTCAGAACTCCAAATTTTCGTTTGATAGGGGAATTGCTAGAGATAGGCAATTCAAAGCTAAGTAGCAAAGAGACTGATGCTAGTTACTCTTTCCAGAAAATCCAGCTTATCTTCACAGTTATTATTACCATAACAACTATCACAATGTCTGGGTACATAAGATGGGTCCTTAATCACATGGAACTATAAAACCCAGTTACCCCACATGTGCACATAAAGCATCAGTTCGCACTAAGTGATAAAAACAGCCTTCAACCTCACCAGTATGGCAGCAATAACTATAGATGAACAGAATAACGAAGTGGTAATTACAAACTATCAAAAAGCATTCTTTCCAAATACTTTTCAAGCAAGGACTGACTGCTAGCATCTCCTTCTCTCAAAAACATTTACGGTACTGGTTATCCTCTGAGTGAGGTGATTACAGCACATGTGAAATTACAAAATTATCTCTAAAAAGATATTTATGTATTTATGTTTATAAAATATTTCTGAATGGTCCATTATATGTCAAGCATTGTGCTAGGTACTAAGGCTACGACAAAAGGAAGATTACCCAGAAACTCTGACTAGTGGCCTAAATGTTCCTTCCAAAGTTTTTTTTTTTTTAATCTCTCTATAAATTACTGAATCATTAGCACTGAAAATATAAAATTAAAAAATAATCTGGCTTTGGAGATAGTGATGCAGGAGTGCCCTAAGTAAATAAAAAAAGAAAAAATGGGCAGGTGTAACATCTCTAAGATTCTCTTCTAATTTGTAACTGACTTATACTCCACCTTTTCCACAAAGATTAAAGGTAGCTTAGAATAATTTATAAAATATAACAAGATGAGACAAGTTACAAATAAAAGAGAAACACTAAAACAAAAAGGAAAACAAGGGCAGTAATTATAAAACAAAGCTAGGATAGGTTTAAAAATTTGAGTTTTGGTGGCTAAAAATTTTGGCTCTAAGCTTTCTAGTAAACAATTTAAGTAAGAAAACCTTATCAGTTATTCCACTGAATACCCAAAAGACAAAAAAGAGACCAACTACTTTGAAGTACTACTATGTATTAAGCCAAGAATATTTTCAGAGTTAAAGACATTATAATGTGATCGGCAATTATCAATCACATCCTTAGAAGAGATGTAATGACAAATTTCACAGGGCTGTTTCTTAGAGTATCACTTCACAGAAGATGATGGCTTGACTCCCATTGTAGATTACTTAATGTTGTCAGTTATTCAGAGAACTTGGCTGAAAGATAGATCTAACATCCCCTCTGAAAATCAGAATGCTTAAGAAAAAAAGGCATGCCTGAAGAGGTCACCCCTGCACCTGGAAAGGAGTGAAGAGTACTCTGCACACAAGAATGACATTATCCCTTAGGAAATATATTTAAATTTCTCTTCAATAAATAGACAAATGGGTACTTGCCCTGAAATCCACTCCATAAACATAACCTCAAGTTTTTTATTCTGCAAAATATCCAGGGTACACATTTCCGGGAACACTGATCAGGGTCCAAGCATTTAGCATATTGGGATAGCGAATGATCCTTGAAGACCTATAGGTAATTCAGTATCTACTCAAGGAGGTGAGCTTTAATTAACTGCATTACTGTGATTGAGAATAAGATTTAGTACAATACGTTACCACCAACAGTCATGGATCTGGTCAAAGGAGGCTGTAGCAAAATTTCTTCATCATTAAATTGCTTCTTAAGTTCTTCTACAGATTCCAAATGGAGTTGGAGAAATTCTGCTGTTGCTGCTGATGCTTCTTCTTTAACAGGATCTATCATTCTCTTCAGAAGTACTAGGTCATCCTTTCGGACTTTCAAACAAAGTTTCTCAATTTCTCGGATATTGGATCGGAGTTGCTATAAAAGAAAAAATCATTAATGCCACCATTTCTTAGTATAAAATATCTTTCTTTTCAGAAGTAATGTTATAATAGTTGTGGATGGAAATTATTACAAATATCTCCAAAACAGAAGGTGTAGCATAATACTTTTACATTTTCTATGTCTCTGGCTGGCCAAATCCAGCATCTTTAGAAACCACATGCTCATACTTTGAATTTATTTAGCATTTTTCCTTCATTAAATGTGGTTATACAAAGATAAATGCTCTTCACAATAAATCAAACACTACAGAAGCATATGAAATAAAAATGATTTTCTCACTTCACCTATCCCACCCCCTCTTAACCCAATCCTCCCACACATTTCTCACGGTTCATGCACACATTTAACATATATAAGGCTTCTCCCTTTTTATTAAAAAAGTGGATTACATTATACACAGAAATCTATAATTTGTCATTCCATACTCAACAATACCATCCCTCCTGCTCAATGGTTACGCTATATTCCACAGTGTAAGTACAGAAGAATTTACTCAATCACTCCTTCGGTGATCAACAGTCATTCGTGTTGTTTCCAATTTTTAGTTACTACAAACTATGAAACAAATACCCTTGCATAAAAGTCCTAATTTACTATATTAGTATATATTATTCTAGTATATACTAATATTAATGTTATTTTGTGTAGGAAAGACTCTCAGAAACAGGAATATTCAAATGATAATGTGCATTTTTATTTCAGAAGCTATTGTTTTTTTCCCAAAAAGCAGTAACACTTCACACTAGCATCAAAGTATGATTGCCTATTTCTCCACATGCTGCCAGTCCTGCATGTCATCTCACTGTTGCTTTACTCTGCACTGCCCCATGAATGAAGTTGTTAGATTTTTTTTATCAAATGATTTTCCTTCTTTTTGAGAAATACCTACTGGCTTAGTCATAAATTTTCCTCTAATATGTTGCTATAATGAATTATGTATAGATTTTGTAGTGTAGACTCATCTTTATATTCCTGGGATAAATCCTTTCTAGTCTATATACATAATTTTTAAATACAATGCTGAATTCATTTGCTAGTATTTTATCTGAAACTTTAGCACATAGGGGTGTGTGTGTGTGTGTGTGTGTGTATACACATGTGTGCATGTACACAGTTTGTGTATTTATACTATCTTTACTAGGTTTAAACTTGCTTTAACAGGTTTAAGGTTGTGCTAGCTTCATAAAATATACCAGGGAGCTTTCCCTCTTTCTCAATGGTCTATACTTTGAAAACAAAGAAACTATCCCTTTAAGATTAAATGGGACAAATTTGCAAAAATAATCAAAGTAAGATGTTTCAAAAAAGTTATATGTCTATTCATATATTTTAAATTATTTTCCCCTAAAGTGTTTTCACAATATTAATGCAAATCCTATACAGTAGACAGACCAGTACATGTTAATTAATTTTTCAAGTGCATACTCTGAGTGAGGTGTTATATTACTATAGTCCAAATTATTACATATAGAAAAAGCAAAACAAAAAAAATCTGTTTAGGATTTACTTGGTTATCTAGTGGCAACACTGGGGTTAAAAACCCAGGTATTCCTATAGGGCCAGCAATCTTTCCACTAAACTAAAATCATAATGCCTATCTATATAGTATCTTAATATCATACAATCTAAAGTTTCCATTTTACTGTAGTAAAATTAAAGTCAATTCTAGAAAAAAAAAATAGTTTAGTTACAACCTAAAACATCTTGTAAGACTTTTCTGGGTGAAAAAACTGCACCTCTATCTTACCATAACTCTATACTTCCTGTAACCTTATCTTCAGTCTCTTACCATTCTAATATGAGCTCAAAAACCTAAGGATAATTAAACTGTAGATTCAAAATATGTGAAATGTAGGTATTAATATGTTAAAATTATACAACGGCATAGGTGAGCATCTAATCCAATCTCACAATTTTACAATAAGGAAACTGGAGTCTAGATAAACACAGTGTCTATTTCTCCACATGCTGCCAGTCCTGCATGTCATCTCACTGAATTAGGACTACAGCCCAGGCCTCAAGTCCCAGAACAATACTGTTTGCAACACACCACCATTTTCTGGCTGTGTGACTCCTTTCTGGACCATAATTATAAAGCTTGGTTATATAGCTGCCAGTCAACAGAAATATTTCAGGTAATATTATCTTGGAGGAGCGTTAAAAATTTTCTACAGTCAAACGTAATGAGCATTTGTTTGTGACATCTTCCTCTCTTATATAATTTGTACATTTGTCTGTCCCCAGTCAAATTACAGTAGCCAGCTGAGAACTCTATTACTATGAGTAATGTGGAAAATTTTGAGGGAGAGAAAGAAAAAACCCACTGAAGTATAAAATCTGATACTATAATAACATAAACAATAATAACAAAAACATAAATAATGGCTAAATTTTTATCAACACTTAAAGTTATCCATTGTGCTGACTGCTTTACATCTGTTATCTTCCCCTCACAATATATCTTTGAAATGGGTATTACTATTATTCTCATTTTACAGAAGAGAAAATTAAAGCAAGAAGCTCAACAAGTAGCCCAGGATTACACTGCTAGTAAATAGTATAGGCAGGAATCAAATCCAGGCCACAGATCTTATGTTCTTAACTACTTTATTACATAGCAAACACCATCCAACACAAATATAATGCAAACCACACACACAAGCCACATATGTAATTTAAAAATTTCAAAAATTACATTTAAAAAGTAAAAAGAAACAAGGGAAATTAATTTTAATAATATTTTTATTTAACCTAATATAGCTAAAATACTATTTTAATATGCAATTATAAAAATTATTAACGAAATATTTTAAACTGTTTTATTTGTAGTAAGTCTTAGAAATCTGGTAATATTTTACATTCACAGCACATCTCAGTTCAAACTGGCTATACTTTAAGTGCTCAACAGTCATACGTAGTTAGGAGCTACTACATTGGATAGGGCAACCAGGGAATCTCTCTAAAATCAAATAGAGGGAACAGGATGGTAAAACCATATGTGAAGAACATAAAGTTAGGTGTTTCTGCTTCTAAAAACAGCAGACTAGGTGATTCAGACTAACCTTCCCACTAATGGCTACTTAAAAAGTTGAACAAAAATCAAATCACAAAACAAACGAAAAGGAAAAAAAAAACTTGAAAAGTATCAGAAAGTAAACAAGATAGTAAGTAACTATAGGACAACAGTTGGGCAAAGACAGAAATCTAGAGAGATGAGTCCTGAACTCAGGGCCACATTTGCTTTGGGAGTATTTGCATACCACAGTACAAGCTCACAAAGCTTGGATTTAAATTTCCATGCCAGGACCTGCTAAGTATAAGGACTCTGGTACTTTTGGCTGGGATCGTCAGAGCTCCATCCTAAGAACACAGGTAATCCTAAAATAAAACAGCCCTTGCAAGAACTGCAGACTGGCCTCCAGTCTCCAGTAGCTCATAAAAAACCTTAAGCTCTAAAACTGGATAAAAATAATCTAGGAAAGTTAGTGCCCCCAGGGGCTTAGGAGAGCAAATGAAAATATCTGAAGGAAGATAACATCATCCCTAGCTTCAAATAATTTCTATAAATAATGTTTCAAATAAAATGTCCACCAATCAATCAAAGATTATCAAGCACATGAGGACATATGCAGCGTGAGGAAGAAACAGCAAAACAAGGAACAGAAACATCCAAAAGGACATGTAATGTGGGAATGGGCAAATGTAGTCTATAAAACTACAGTTATTTTGTTCAAAGGCATAAAAATAAAGCTTGAAAATTTAGCAGACCACTGGAAACTATAAAAAGCAACATACAGGTTTTTTAATGAATATTCTATAATTTTAAAATAGTGTTCAAAAGAATGTAATAAATGAGTTTAGCTTCATATTAGGCCCAGTTCAAGAAAGATATAAACTGGAAAACAGATCTGAAGAAACTATGTAAAAAGTATCTATGTAAAACTATGTAAAATAGAAACAAGGAAAGTGAAAAATAGGGAAGAAAAGTTAAGAAATACAGAAGACATAGTTAGAAAAGGGTACCGCGGTGGCTCACGCCTGTAATCCCAGCACTTTGGGAGGCCGAGGCGGGTGGATCACAAGGTCAGGACGTCGAGACCACGGTGAAACCCCATCTCTAAAAATACAAAAAAGTAGCCGGGCGCGGTGGCGGGCGCCTGTAGTCCCAGCTACTCAGGAGGCTGAGGCAGGAGAATGGCGTGAACCCGGGAGGCGGAGCTTGCAGTGAGCCGAGATTGCGCCATTGCACTCCAGCCTGGGCAACAGAGCGAGACTCCGTCTCAAAAAAAAAAAAAAGAAAGGAAAAGGGTACAGTATACATTTACTTAGAATTCCAGAAGAAGACAGAAAATGAATTTGAATAGATAATGACTGAGAATTTTCAAAACATTGAAGAAAAACATCCATCCACAATTCAAGGTCAACAAATCCTGAGAAGAATAAATAAAAGGAAAAATACACCTAGCCAGAAGAGAGAAAAAGGAGAAAAGATGTTTAAAAGCGCTACAGACAAAAGTATCTTGCAAAGAAACAGTAAGATTATAATGACTTCTCAACAGCAATAACAAAAGCCTAAAGGCAATGGAACAATATATTCAAAGTATAGAAAGTAAATTACTATCAACCTAAAGTTATACATGCTGCAAAAATATCTTTCAAGACCACAGGTAAAATAGAAATATTTTTAGACAAACAAAAGCTGAGAGAATTTGCCTTCAGTAAGAGAAATATTAAATGGTGACCTTCAAAAATAACCATTAATCCCAGATACAAAGTTGGAAATGCAAAAAGAAATGAACAGGAATGAAAATAAGCTAAAAAGTGGGTAAATCTAGATGACCAGTAACTCTACTAAAACAACAATAATAATGTCTGTGGGGTTTAGAAATATTTATATAAAAATAGCACTTGAGTTGTAGGGCATACATGGAACTAAAATAGTCTAAGGAACTGAAATTATCTGTACTTCTAAG